GGGAAAGAGCGAGAAAGTGCATTTTTAAAGAGATTTAGTCACAGCTAACTCCACAGAATACTAAGACTAGGTGTAATCTCATAAAACCTGGGAGTTCAGGCAGGTGTCTAGGCTCAAGCATGACTACTTCCCTGCACCCACCTTCAGATGTGGTCTGAACAGCAGCAAGAGGGTTAGCTTTAACCTTCAGTTTATAGCCTCCTTGTAAATAGGTTTCCTGGCATGACAGTCTTTGTTCTTAGAAGCTCAGCATTTGATTTGTTCATGTTCCTTTACATTTTTTCATATTACTTTCTTTTTTTAACTCAAGTTTAAGAAGCCAGTTGAGATCGTTGTCTTTCCAGTGCTCTTTTTGCCAATTTGCTGAGACTGTGGATATTCTCAGTTGTGCAATGATGTCCATGGATTATGTAGCAGCAAAATTTTAAAATATTTTGAGGTTCTGAAGTAAGAGATTAAAGTTTTGGTTGTGGTGTTTGTATCCTTTCTGTGAAATCCAGGTCTCAAAATGGAACTTAAAGATAATTAATGTATTTTTTGAAAAGGGTAGGAAAAAGCTAAAGGGAAGTCCCCACATTTTGGAAACAGAGAGCAAGGTCAAGGACTAATTAATGCCTCCACAGCTTCCTGGATAACAAGAGAAGAAGCAGGAATTGGTAGGCCCCTTCCTTCAAGGAGTTTTGTTAACATGTTGACAGGGCTTCCTTTACCCTACTCAGTAGAGTGAGTACTTAATCAGAAAAGCAAGAAATCTGACTTTATAATTTGTTTTTAGGTTCATTTCGTGATCTGAGTATCTTTTTCATACAGTTTGAGTATCTAATTTTTAAAAAAGAAGCAGTGGGATGAGGAGTGCTAGATTGCAGACAGACTTTGTTCCCATAGATGCTTCATAATTTTGCCTTATAATTTATTTGTGTACATTTCTGACTCTCCCTGCGCATTTCTGAACTCTGTGCAGATACTGATCGATTTATAATCCTCACATCCTTCCAGAGTCCCTTGCGTATAGTAGGCCCACACTAAGACTGGGGTTAAAGAAAATACCAGAAGCCATGGAAACCAACTGTATTCAGAGAGGCGGTTCTCTTTCCCATCACAAAGCACTTGAGAAAATTAATTCCTATAATACAGTAAAATCTCTTTAAACACTGTATTTGTCATGATTCTGGGGTAGTTATGTAGAAATTTGTCCTTTTTGTGTGTTCGTTGTTGTTTTTTGTCTGTAAGACACAGACTAAAGTTTCCGTTGTTTGAGTTTAGATGAGATGAGTTACAGGAAACATGAAATGTGATGCACTGTGACTATTTTTTCTTGAGTGATCTTTCTTTAACAGAAGCAGACCTGGGAAGATTTGTCACAAGATAGCAGTATACTAATAGGTAGAAACAGAAATGACTATGAAAACCAGATGTTTTGTCTGGGCCTGTCTTCAGAAACAGGATTTCAGTGTTGGCATATATCATTTTTCTCTTGTTTACCCACACTGATTAAAGGGCATTTATCTAGTGGTGTGCTCAATTGCTGTGTGCGGGACTCATTTGCATGCTCTTAACATCCTGGTTTCTACACAACATGATATTTCTGTTGGCAATTTAAGTTTATTACTTCAGAAATTGTCATATTGGAAGTCCAAGATGTGAGCGATATTTATTTTTATTTAAAATTACTAGGGGGATTTGTTAGACAATACCTAGTTTCCTGACATTGGCAAGAGGCTTTACAGAGTTTCCCCCTGATTTTCGAGGACATATTTGTATTACACATACATCTTAACTTGTTATTATTGTAGGATTTTATTTGCTTTAATTTAGAAAATTCCAGGCTTACTGTATTTTGTCTTTACAGGACTCTAAACTCCTCTCCTTTGAAAATATCTGAAAGATCTTATTTGTGGTTCTGATCCTAGACTGATTTGGTTAGTTTTAGAATCCAGACCATAGAAATGAAGGGAAAGA